GTTACCATATATACGTCACAATAGAATAGCGTGTTTAATTTTAATTTTAATTTAATTTCGATTGCATTTAACGTCGCTGTATTTTAAATGAATCAATCGGTGAATTTATAAACAAACAGTCTTAGTTGTAATATGTATTTTCATAAAATATAAAATACTGTGTTGTGTTGCTTTGTGCTGCTAAGTCATTAGGCGACAAGTGGACAAAGGTTAAGGTTAATAAGGGATTAGGCAACAGGGATTTGAATAACTAAATGGATCCCAATGGAATGATAAGAATATTATGCCTTTACGTCTTTGGAGTGAGCATAATTTATTTGATTTTTATGTCATGCAAACTGTAATGCCTTGGCGGCCGTATGGTATGGTATGGCATTGGGGGTTGTCCCAAAATAAGGAGGTTCGATTCCCTCCCTTGTAAAACAAAATGTTTCGGAAGAAGTTAATTTCGACAGGTATTGTGAAGTTTTCTTTTTCGTTATTAATTAAAATACCCACTTGCGATAGCTCAACTGGTAAAGCGGAGGACTGTAGTCCCTTAGGTCGTTGGTTCAAACCCAGCTCGCAAGATTTAAAAGCAAGCGTTCTTTATAGCGGTCGGAAAAATTTATATGTTGCTCGGAGCCTGGCTCAAACTAACGAACCTGGGAAGGCCTATCTTGGAGCCTAGTGTAAATAGCTCGAAGCCTGGCTCCGAGCCTCGCTAAGAGGCGAGTTTAAATGAAAATAGATAGCATTTTAAATTAAATAGCTCGGAGCCTAACTCGAAATATCGAGCCTATGGAAGCGTTGTCACGCAATCCCCACATGTAAAAAAAATGTTGACGTAATTAAGGGGATTGGGGCAATACGAATTTGCATAACCAATAGGATCCCAATGGATATACGTGGATATTATTACGGGCAGCCGTGGCCATGTTCAGGCAAACAGTCAATATTTATAGGTTTATTACACTGGCGTAGACTTTAATCGGGCGCGTGACTATGCGGGCTAATGTTTCCGAAGAATTTAGATTCAAAATAAATTTATTTCTTCAAAACGTTTTACAAAATTTAATACGGTCTACGCCTAAGAGCGTAACGTTTAGGTGTTTTTGTTATTTTTAAGGAATTCTCATATTATTTTCTGTCTTCGTGTAATAACTTTGCAATTTTCTAAAGCTTCATTGGACTATATTCTCCTATCTCGGAAAGTAGTCTTTGTTCGTAACCTTCTCTTTGTTCAGGGATCATCATTGCCAAATCTTGGGGGTGTTCAATTTGTAGAGCCTAGCCAATTTTGAAAACAGTTGCGCTTCAGTTTTGGTCGTTCCTTTTCTGTTGGTGGCGGTGTAAGAAAATTAGGTTTAGGAGTAGTGGGCGCTGGTGATGTTATCTCAACAGTAGCTTAGGGTTCTGTTGGTGTCGTTTGAACAGGGGCTTCGTGACTGGGATGGTCAGCAGGGCCACTCACTTATTTTTGAATGTCGGAAACCAATTTAGTTCATCAGGAAATACCTTGCTTTTCTCGCGCACTGAAATTTGTGGCACTTCGATAATCTCTTTCATTCGCTGTTCGGCATCATACATTGCATTTACAAGCCTTGGTTGTTTATATTACTATTTTTGTATAAACTTCGTTGTGTCAATCTCGCCAGGAAGTATGTTGGTCTTATGTCGTTAAGTTACTAAAAAGTTACGTAAGTAAGTTACTATGAAGTTACATAAGTTTAAATGCTGTATTGTTAATAACTATTGTTTCACGGAAGTTTAAATTTTTTTATGTCGGACTTTGTATTTTTTTATTTCGTTATGGTATATGCTAAAACGATAATTTATCTAATAATAAGCAGGTCCCTCGCAAGATAACAGGAAAAAGAGTCCCTAAAGACAATTATTCAAATTCGGAAAAAGAATTTAGACAAGCAATAAATTCAAAAGACGACAACGAAACTCAACGCCCATGGCAAGTTATTAAACCTGAACCAATTATCAACCCTAACAATAAACAGATTGAAAGAGAAGATGGAAAGCAATCTCGAAAACGAGGTCCTGTACCAACTTCAAATAAATACGAAAGCCTAGAAGACGAAATGATTGACGTGGACGAGGTTGCTAACAAAATCGGTGAAGCGACAAACGACATTATATCTGAACACAATAAGGAAACAGAAAGCTTGAATAAATCAAACATAAGACGACACAACCCTGTGAAAAGTTCCCTGTTTGTAAATGGCGATTCTTTACTAAAAGGTCTTCCACAACACTCGATTACGAAAGCTACTAACACCAAAGTACAAGTCAAATGCTTTCCAGAGGCCAAACTCAGCGACATGAAGCACTACAGCATCCCATCCCTGGCCATTGATCCGGGACCGGCTAAACGGAGAGTTATGAAGTGGAGAGTTATCTCGGAGAGTTATGATTTCGGAGAGTTATGTTCGAACCACGCCCACTTTTCCCAACGACCACACCCAATTTCTTAACTCTCCCGATGTTTCCTTGAACTAACATGAGAG